TGTTGGCTTTGCCATCGCTTTGGCCATGCAAAGTGTGCCGGTATTATCGGCCGTGCTGTTGATGCAATCGTTGACCCCTCGGAGGCATTGCGCTAGTCATGTCATGACTGTAGGAAGCGGGACATAGACTTCTACAAATTGTTCATTGAAATAGTTTCTCTGAATTGAGTAAAAACCTCGGCTCGTTGTGGGAAAAGTTTCAGATCATTAAGACTAGGTTTGATCAGTGGCGTTTTATTGAGCACTCCTCTTCTTCCCAAGCTAGTAAAATCATAACTCGTAGAGTGCTTCACCTCTAATTCCTCCTGAGTCCGATTCGTTGGTGCAAGTAAACGCTTCCATAATGTCCTCAAAGAACGGCAGTGTTTCTGATATGGCTGAGTAGGTCCGTAAAAAAAATTACAAATAAGCCGGCAAGTCCTTCTGGTTTAAGCTATGCTGAAGTGGCAAGAGTATCTCTTCCCATTGATGTCACTCAATCTTCTCAGGCGTCTTCGCCTAAAACAAGCCGCTCGTGCGGGTGTGGTTACCCTTTCTATATTTTCTCCAACTCATAACTTCCCGTCCGTTAACCCTGCTGCTCCTAGTACAGATGACAAATGCTTGAAGGCAGTTCCTCCAGACAATATTTGTGTCAAGACTGGCACCAGATACATCTGTTGATAACATAAAAAGTTATCTGGCAGCGAAAGCCGCTTCTGTCAATTTAAAGCGCATTAATATTTGGCTCCTTCTCAATCTAGATCTATCTCATCTTTTAAAATTCTAGTTCCGATTGAAAATATGGATTTGATGTTAAATAAACCATTGTGGCCGGTTGGATCCTTAATGAAGGAATTTATCCCTCGGGATCGATCCCGTAATGCCAATGCAGTAGCTCTTTCGCCTAAATATTTCTTCAGACTCATTTTCTCTCATTTGTCAAAATGTTAGGGGCCTAAATTCAAAAATTCGTTCTACCTTTTCCACAATTCGTTTCATTTTTTTTAGAAACGATCGATTGTATCGCAATGGTGGTGGTGTTTTAATTGCCAGGCAGTTCTCTCCTATTTACTTGAATTTCCAACTACTCCCGACGTTGAATTTATTGCTATTCGAATGAAATTTCCTAATAAACACTATATGTGACCTGCTCCTATATTCCCCCAAATTCGGATATCTCTGTATATAAGAAACAGGCCGCCCTCTTATGTGAAGTGGCCAATCAATCTGAACCTAGCGATATAGTCATTGCGTTGGGTGACTTCAATTCGCCTCAAGTCACTTGGTGTTACAGTGATAGTTCTGGCTGTTTGATTCCTACCTCAACAGCTGGTAGAGCCGTTGTGTTCTTTAATAAATTATTTGATCATAATTTAGTTCAATACAACTGTACCCCAAATTGCAATTTTTTTTTGCCAATTTTCCTGAGATTTGTGCTAATCGCCCTCTTCCTTTTAGTTTAGCTGAGCATCCTTACTATCGAGCATTGGGTATTTCCTTTCATTACAAGTATGATGTTTCTTTGAACTTCTCTAACGTTCCAAATTAAACTTTTTCAAATAAATTTTATGATTTCCATAAAATCAACATTTCAATGCTAAAATCACCTCTTTCCCATATTAAGCTTGATTTCTCAGGTGGAAGTATTGATAGCTTACTGTTGTCGTTGTGCAATATATTAAATCAAGCTATTTCTGCATCCGATCAAGCAGTACCGTCCTCGAAGCAGGTGTCCCCCATGGTCCTATAAGACAACTAAATATTACAAGAATAGGAAAAACAAGCTTTAAAAAAAATTTTCGAAAATTGGTTCTTCTTTCGACTTACTCAGTGGCAAGACGGAAGTTTAATTTCCTGAACCACCAATTTTATTGCAGTTACCTTCATTTTATTAAATCTTCTCTGTTTGCTAATCCTAAATACTTTTTTAAGTTCCTTAGTTCCAAAAGAAAAATCTCCATAAATCTCTCGCATGTTTCTTTTAATGGCTCAGAATCCTCGGATGATATTGAAACGTCAAATCTCTTTGCGAAATACTTCCGACAAAACTTTTCGGCTATTAATTTAGATTTATCAGCAAACTACACATATCCTATAACTAATTTGGTTTCAATTATTAATTTGGTTATTGCTGAAGATAGTGAGCTCTCTAAAATATAGTTGTGCGCCTGGACCTGATGGAATTCCATCATGTGTACTTAAATCTTGCGCTGTCGAGTTATATGGTGTTATCTCTAAGATAATTAGCAGTTCTTTGAATTTAGGTTTTTAGTGAAATGTATAAGCTCTTTTCTGCACAATAGATCCTTCAGGGTTCTGTTTAACTTCATCATTTCGGATGAGTTCCCCGTGACGTCTGGCGTACCTCAAGGAAATCACTTAGGTCCCACTTTATTAAGTTTATACATTAACGATCTTCAATCGGTGGTTAATCCCAGCCAGATGTTCATGTATGCTGATGATGTGAAACTGTTTTCTTCCTTCCGAATCGCAATCACATAAGCTTCCAAGTGACTTAAACGATTTGGTTGCATGGTGCTCTTTGAATCTTCTGAAACTAAATCTAAATAAATGTAAAAAGCATTCTCAAGAAGAAAGTCATTCATTACTCAGTATTTGATTGATTCGCATCAGTTGGAGGTCGTCTATACGTTTACAGATTTAGCCATTCTATTTGACCATAGATTACGTTTTAATTTGTACATTGAGCTCTCGTTAAGCAAAGCTAGATCCGCACTTGGTTTTATAAGGAGGAGGTCCAAAGAGCTTGATGATGCTTACTTTACTAAAAGGCTATACATGTGTTTGGTTAGACCTATACTTGAGTACTTAATTGACTCAATTGAATCTGTTCAAAAGTAATTCTTGCTCTTAGGAATTTGGGCTGGGATCCGATTGCCTCTCTTCCCCCCTAGCGTCTCTTGAGAAACATAGATTTGTTCTTGGCGTTTGCTTCGTAATCAAAGTAATAAATGGTGCTATCGACTCGTCTGCATTACTTGGTGAAATAAGCTTTAATGTCCCCAACCGCTTCTCTAGGCACTTGACCTTGGTTAAGCTTAATCAATGTAAATATAATTATAAGCTGTTTAAACCGCTCAGAGTTGTTGGCAAGAACCTAAATGATGTCTATCACTTATTCTCATTATCCGACTCTTTAAAGTCCATTAAAGCAACATTGCTTAGTGCGCGTAATTTACCTAATTTAACTAGCTCTTAACCTTAAAATGTCAAGAGGAGTTGAAAATGAATTGTTATCGGTTGCCAAGCTTATGCATGTTTGGGATGGGTTCATTCACAATTGAGTCGTGTACCAGTTGTGGGTGTGGCTCTATGCTAGTTGTGTACATGCTTATTTTCTTTTTTTTCTTTTTTTTTGTTACTGGGCGACGTAATCCCGTAACACCGATTTTATTTGGACGTGAGATTGGGTGTTATTTTTAAATTAATTTTCATCAATACATACTGGAATCTTTCGGATAATTCCATACTATTCGACGAAGTTCCAAGAAATGCATGTTTTTAAATTTTGTGCGTTAAAATCGTAAAATTCGTAAAAATTGATTGATTGGTTTGAGATGTTTTAAGCCGTTTAGCTTAGATTTTTGACATATTCAAAGAAAAGGAAATTCGACGCCAGGCGAACCTTTTGAATATCAACATTTCCATAAGTACAAAGCAAAGAAGAGTCTTCATCGTAATAGTTGGATTGTGCTGGGAATTTGTTCTCTCAACTTTAACACGCAACATTTTGGCTATCATATATAAGCGGAACTAGATAGATGCAAGTGACAACTACCTAAATTTTATTTAGAAAGTCTGCATAGAGTCAATAAAATAAAGATGAGAAGCTAAAAATATTTATTGCTTTTAGCTCCTTGCACAGGTAGAAAAAGTATTTATTTCTCTCATAAATCCATTGAGTTGGAAAATAGCAAAGTATGTTGCTCAAATTAATCCTTTCATAATTAAAGAAGTTTTAGTGTGTGTAGTAATGCCTAAGTTTATCCGTGACAAGTTTATTTCTAACAATGGTCCACAATATATAGGGTATTTAGTGGTTTTTAAAGTGTAAGAACAAATAGTTTCTGCGCTTTACAGATTTTTAAGAAAGTGCTAATTTATTGCATAAATCATTTTCTCAACGATTCGAGCAAGCGGCTTTAAATCCTGTTTATCTTTTAAAAGTCTTAATCAGTTAGTAAACTGTCATTGTACATAGCTGGGAAGATGCAAACATTCCAAAACAGCCTGGTAAGACGATGTACGGGCTTCACTCCCCCCACCCTGTCCACATATTGAGAATAATCACTGCCAACGAACTAATCCAAATCAAGACTGTTTTCAAAGGAAATACTATACCCAAAACCATTTCTTTTAATTAATGTATCCTACAAGCTAACTTTTTCATGCCGACTTTAAAGTCGCTTCGGACAGATTTTGTCGGTAGAAGAGACGCGACTAATAAAATTTCGTATATATTTGGAATCTCGTTGAACACAAGTTTTTATTTAAACACTTAATACGTCTTCCGCGTTATTGTTTGTGTATTAACAAAAGTGTTAGTCTCCTTCATTAAGTAATATTATTTTGGACAGCTTTTAGATTTCGTGCCCGTTTAAGAAAAAAAAAATAAGCAGCTAACGTACCAAAAATTACTTGATGGTTTAAACTAAAATGGCTTGTGCAAAACAGACAACACTATGGTCACATAGAAACGTAAGAAAGGGAGAACTTTGCAGCAATCACTTGAATTTGGCAGTATCACCGGCAGTTATAATTTTTTTTCCAAAAGTCTGTGTCCACATATGATGACACTTTTTAAAAAGCTGTTGCATTTGTTTGCTTTTCTTTTTTTGTTGTTCAGATCGTTTTGCAACCACGCAAAATTTAAATTATTTTTCTATTTAACAGAAATTCATTTTTTTAGGTTTAGGTTTCATTTTTATTTTCTTTAAGGAAAAAATAATTAAATGCTTTGAACTTGTCGTTTCTTTTTTGTTTAAAATATCGATTGCTCTAAATATTTCTTTCAAACATTCCAGCATCTCCCGCGTTTCTTTACGCCTACTTACTTTTTTTAGGTAGGGAAAAGTGCAAGTTCAAAGAGAAGTTCTTTAGTCATCTTCTTAATACCGCAAAACATAATTTTTATTGAAATTACGAAAACCGTATCTACATTTCTTGTTCTAGCTTAGATCGCAAATGGTTGTTCTGTACCATCTTCATGATACTTAATATAGGTTTCACCATGCGTAAAATCCTTCGTATCTACCAAACGTCCACGTGGGAGTGACTTACTATAATCGAACCCTTTGGTTGATTTGCCAAATAAGCAATTTGCTTCTTCTATATCGTCGCGATATTTGCCTAAAACCACTTTTTTTCCCGTTATAGGATCGGTTATATCGCCTAAGGAATAAACAACCTTTTCAACCTTATGCGTTGTCAGTCTTGTTAAGCGTTGCGCTAATTCGCGTATCAGAACGACATCTCCAGTTTTGCACATCTTTTCGGGATCATGCGCAAATAAAAATTCATCCTTTTTGAAATACTGAACAAAATAAATGAAAATTTAATTTATTTAACTAATATATCAGTTTACCATATTCAGATTCGTATCCAGTTCCATACGCCGTATACGTATTTTCGAAGTATTTCGCTTAACACAAGGTAGGCAAACACCCAATAATAATAAAGTACGCGTAGACATAGTAGCTCTTATTTAAAAAAAAAAGGCAAATTAAAAGAAAAATGAAATAGGCTGACATCGAAGGAATTTTCCTTTTGGTGAATAACCAGCTGACTGGTTCTTGCTTATAAATACGATATATATAAATATTTGTAAAAGATTTAATTATTATATCTAAAAGGTAAAGATTCTGCAACGATTGCACAGCTGCTTAAAACAAATTAGTGTTGTTGCACATTTGGAAAAATTTACAAAATATAAACATTATTTCCGTAAATAAAAAAATTGAAATAATATCATTTTGTTATTGTGCTGCAAATATATTTACGTGCGGAGCTGGTATACAGGAGATCTAAATAAGAGACAGCAAATAACCACGAAAACAATGGTAAGCTACGGTCAACACCCAAATACGTAGTCTTTCAATACTTTGTTACTTTGTTAGAGTTATGACGACGATTACCATGTGGACACATTTCCTAAGGAATATGGCTATGGAGCATTCGATCAAGAAGGTTTAGATTCAGCGGATATGGGTGGCGCCGATACAGATTTAAAACCACGTATTCTCCTGATGGGCTTAAGACGGTCCGGTAAAAGTTCGATTCAAAAAGTAGTCTTCCACAAAATGTCACCCAATGAAACATTGTTCCTCGAATCTACTAGCAAAATCATTAAGGATGACATTAATAATTCAAGTTTTGTGCAATTCTCTATATGGGATTTCCCCGGGCAAATAGATTTCATTGATCCTACATTTGATTCAGATATGATATTTGGCAATTGCGGTTCGTTAGTATTTGTTATAGATGCGAAGGATGATTATAATGAGGCGTTGACTAAGTTCAAGAATACTGTGAACAAAGCTTACAAAGTAAATCCTCACATAAAGTTCGAAGTGTTTATACATAAAGTGAGTAGAAAAGTCGATTCTCCTATACGTATATATGCATATACATATACATAATATATATAAATATATATATATATAAATTTAAAACCACTGTTTTAAAGACGTTCTTATCTTCTATTTTTTAGGTTGATGGCATTAGCGATGACACGAAAATGGAATCGCAGAGAGATATACATCAACGTGCCTCAGATGATTTAGCTGAGGTCGGCTTGACGCAAATACATTTAAGTTTCCATTTAACTTCAATTTATGATCATTCTATATTCGAGGCCTTTTCAAAAGTTGTCCAGAAACTAATACCCCAGTTACCAACTTTGGAAAATCTGCTTAATATATTTATATCGGTAAATGAGGGAAAACAAATCGTAAAATAATTATTAATATTTTATTTATATTTGGTAGAACTCTGGTATCGAAAAGGCTTTTTTGTTTGATGTAGTTTCAAAAATTTACATAGCCACGGATTGCTCACCGGTTGATATGCAAAGCTACGAGTTGTGTTGCGACATGATTGATGTGGTCATAGACTTATCAAGTATTTACAGGTTAATATTTCCTTTTTTCTTATATTTCTTTATGTAAATGTTAAACCTTATTCGCCTTTGAAGTTGATCTTGAATGCCTACGAGCAAATATTTAAAATTGGTTGCTTTTTGTTAATCATTTCCTAATATATGCCATTGCCTAAATTATTGGCGTTTAAGGTATATGTCTATAGCGAATCGGCGGCAATATTTTCAAGCTTTCGGTTATTTTTCACGCGTTGGGTAATGTAGGCATATTTACGCCCCGACCGCGATTGATTTACTAAACGAGGGGATACGCGTGAAATTTCAACGTTCTTTATTAATTTCCATTTTAATTTAATTAACAACTAACCAAAAACATGCAAGTATAGCGTATTAGACGGGCAGAATCATTCTGAATCAACAAACAAACCTTATACGTACTTTTTATGGATATTCCAGTAAAAAAGCAAACGGCAATGCTTTATGTCACCTTCCTTCAACTTTAAATCTAAAAATAGCTTTGTTCCATATTTTCAGCTCCGAAGAAACGGCTTTTGATCAACAGAGCTCAAGCTTAATCAAGCTGAACAACAATACTATTTTGTGTTTGCGAGAAGTGAACAAATTTTTGGCCCTGGTGTGTATTTTACGTGAAGAGAATTTTAATCGCCAAGGCGTTATTGACTATAATTTTCTATGCTTTCGTGAAGCCATCAGCGAAGTTTTTGAATTACGTTTAAAAACTCAGAAATTACCCACTTTGGATGAGCGTGCTGAATTAATCCCAAACGGACTAGATGATATTAATGAAGATGACGTCGGTAAAGATGATAAAATAATAAACAGAACAAACAAAATTATTTAAATTCCTTATGTTTTTTGTTTTTGTAAAGACATTTTCAAAGAATTTATGATCAATTTCTTTTTTTATGTGCCTTTTTCTGAAGAAAAATTTTATGTTTAAATAACTGTGCTTGCATAGATTTGTATATATTTTCTGTATAAATAATTTTTTCAAATTCTTCTTTCTTTGCAATATAAAGTTTTGAATATGCAACGTTTACTGTAATTTCTTACTTATCATATAGAATAGAAGATAATATTTCTAAGGTTTTGTTTACTTCTATCAAAAAAATATGTACTTTTTCTCATACACATTCCGAGTGGTTTTTGTTCATTTTTAGAGACTTGCCGCTTGATTTTAACAAATCCTGAGAGACTTTACTTTCGGTTTTTAGAAATTCAGAGAGACTACGTTTGATTTTTAGAAATTCTGAGATACCATTAGAGTGCTTCTCAAAAATTCTAAGATACCATTGGAGTGCTTCTTGGTTAAATTTTTATGGAACAGCTATGCGATATAATTTGATGATAAAATTTGAATTAATTAGAGAATTAAGAAGAACAGTAATAAAAATAATTGAAAAATGTCCATAATAAATAAGTAAATATATAAATAAATTGATATTTCTTACATTTTCAAATCTTCGTTTTATTGGCTTTTTGTATAACATAAGGAAAATTTATTTATTTGGGGATGAATTGAGAGAAGGTTTGGTGGATGAACTGAGAGAAAATTTGGAAAAAACCGATTTCCTTTTGATGACCGCAATAAATTTATTTTTGGTTAAAATTTTACTGGGATTTTAATTGCAATCCTTGCTTGTGGGACAAGCGCTCAAGCGGTAAATGGCAATAATTAAATTTGATTGACTTAGGGAGGGCTTTCCTTTGGAGCCAATTTTGATGCTGGTTGTGGAATCCACTCATCTTTGTTGTTGGGATTCCTTCTTTGAAAACGGACAACGGACTTGATCGGAATATCGGATACGGCATTTTTAATTAATCATCTACACAGTATGTACATGGGATGTTTGGAATGCATCGAATCTCTCAATGAACGACCACGGTATGTACGCCTTTAAATTCTTTTAAGTGAAATCATTATTTGTGACAAAGTTTGTAACGGCCGCGAACAAACCTCGGGTAGGGTGTCTGTCGGCCTGTATCAACCGCAAGCAGCGGAATAACGGCATGCCGTTAGACAAAATCATGCGATTTTGTGCTACTGCTTATAAAACACGTGATCTTGCGGGATATGTTTGTTTTATTCTTTTCTGTTTTCCTTGTTTACAAGTACAGGCAAAATCGTATGATTTTGCGGTACTCCTTTTTTTTCCTTTTGCTCTTGCAAGCATAGGCAAGAAATCGTATGATTTTGCGGTATTTTTGCTTGCTTTTTTGAGAGTAGCGGCAAGCCGCTATAGAGAGAGCAACAGGAAGAAGAAGAGGGAAATTGAGTAAGAACGAGAAGTTTGTCTGTTTTTTAATATGACGATAGCGGGGAGAACAACTTGGGATCTGATGGAGTGCGGACGTGTCCGCGAGTTGTGTCTTCAGTTTTATTAAATAAAGAAGTTAAACGTTTTTTGTGAACCAAAAAAAAACGCCACTTTAAAGAAGAAATATCCTAAATTTACATTGTGTGATATTTGACAGTAAAATTGATCCAAATTCTGGACCGGTTAATAGCCATAAAAGTTGTGAACTTGTCACCGATTGATAATTAATTCAATGATTTCTTTTGCCTGAATATAAAAAAAAGAAAAAACAGAAAGAAAGAATCTAAAGTTAAATAAGAAGCAAAAAGTTTTTCTACCAAGTGAATAAAGTAGAAAATTGTTGATAAAAGAGGGCATTTATGAACAAATGGCCGTGTTTTTTTTGTTGTTAATTTTCTGAAATTCTTACCAAAATGAAAGTTCAACGGCGAACATTAAGTGTCGAAAAGAAAAGTTGAAAAAAATGTCGCATCAATTAGCTGCGAAAGATTGACAAAAAAAAAAGGGAGATTTCACATTGTACAAAATCTCAGGAAATTCCCAGGCGTCAATGAGACAGTTTGTCATTTGAAGAAAAAATACCTTTTCATATAAAAAGACTGCTAAAGCAAAAAAAAAAGTCGTGCATAAATTTCCTAAACATCATTAGTACATAAATATCTTAAACATATTACTGCTAAAATGTCTTAACCATTATTATTGGAAACTTGGAGTATTTTTGTTGGTTGACATCATTACGTGTTAAGAGGAAAAAAAAATAGAAATAAAGAAAAAAAAAGAAAAAAAAAAGAGGAGCAAAAACAAATCTATGTGTTTACTTCAATCCGCATGGATTGGTAGGAAAAAAAAACTACTTCCCCAGTTTGTTAACTCGTGAACCACGTACCCACCCGTGCACCCACACACGCAACAATGGAAGCTAAAGTTTGATCCAGGTGAAGAAGTTTCGTAGAAGGAGAGGAAATTGCCGAAGGAGACAGCCACAACATCGCGATTGGATTATATTGTAACTTGTTTTGGTTTGTTTACTTCCCTTTTTTTTTGGTTTTGTGTCCCCGATGCGTGGCTAAGCGTTACAGCTGCCACCGCTGTAGCTGGGAGAAAAAAGGGGTGTGCATATGTAGGGCAGACGCCAGACGACTACAGACTGACTTACGGTGGACAGACGGACGGTAGACAACCGACGGGACCTTTTCGTTTTTTTTATTCTTTGTCAGGAAAATATATATGCTCTACCGGCAACAAAGTAGCTAGTACCGTGACAATACCTATGCTGCTGTTGCCTCGCAAATCGAGCCTAGTAAGACTTT